CAATTTTTTTAATAGATGTTTTTTCGAAATTGATTTGCACGCGATCTATGCGTCGCAAAACTACGTTCGTAGTACCAAATGAAAGATAAAAGATTAAATTTTCATTTAAGAAAAAAAATTTGATTGAAAAAATCAAAATCGAATATTTTTTCAGCGTTTTATTTAATCATTCGCGGCATTAAATTTTCGATAGGAAGCCCTGTAACTTTTTCAAAAGTGCGTATGGGCAGCTAATAATTAACACTTTTTATCTACTCGACGAGCTCTTTCGAATGAGCTATAGAACATAAAAATCGGTGAGTACCACTTCGCGTGGTTCCCTTGTGAGCTGAGCAATATTTTTTGTGAAAATGACTCGATAAAAAATAAGTAGAAATAAGTTGCCGATGATAATTTTAAAACTAAACCAACACGTGCCTTTCGTCTCAAAATCAAAGCTCGAAAATTTCGATTCAGATTAATAAAGACTTTCGAAAGATATGTACATCAGATGCTGGAATTTCAATTAACACTTCACTGTTTCTTAATTCAATACACATGGTTGACCAATTGATTTTTGTATAGTTAATAATGATCTACGAGCATTTCTCTGAAACTCTTGTCTCTTTGAAATTAATGGGATAATTGATCAAGTTGAACCAATTTAAAATCGAAGCAAAATTATTGGTAAAAAAGTTACAGAACTTATTGAAGTATGTGAATATGTAAAATGTTCATCAGTAATGAAATTGTTATTCTTGCTCTAGATTCGCGAAAACAGATATTTTTTCAAGCAAAATTGGAAAATGAAAATTTTACAAAATTGAAAGAAACTCTGGTGAACAAGAATTTGAATGAGAATCAAATTAGCGTTTCAAAAGCTTCTTTCGCTTCATTATTCAACCTCTTTTCTTCTTCCATCTTTTTCTATTCCTCCTACAACCTTTTCATCTTCTACATCATCATCCACATCATCATCATCATGAACATGTTCAACTGGACAGAAAAGAACTGTTATCAGCAACAAATAATATTTTAACAGGATTAGCTGTAGCTGATATGCTGGTCATGATGGATTATATTCCCTTCGCAATTCACAATAATATTCAAGTGCATCAAGGAGATGGTGAAATGTTTACTTATGGTTGGACAGTTTTCACCCTTTTCCATGCTCATTTCACCTTAGTAGTCCATTCAATATCAACCTGGTTAACAGTTTTACTGGCTGTTTGGAGATACCTTTCTGTAAGGTTTGTTAATTTTACTCTGCTTTTCCAATTTTCATCCGATTTAAACACATCCTATTGTCCAAGTGCAAACATAATCCTTTCATAACTTGAACCTGTCAATTTTTCAGCTTGAAAAATGTCACTTCATTTCTCACTGGCTAAGCTGACTTGCAGCAAAATAGTTATACAACTTGACCCCAAGGATAGTAGCTAAAGCTACAAAGCTAATGGCAAAACCTTGAAGAGTTTTGCTGTTTCAAGTAAAACTTGAAATAATGTTGAAAAACAAAAACTGTTTATCAATCTGTTCATTTTTTTCCATCATCAGTTTCATTCCCTGGTAAATCTTATCATCACCTTTTCCCTTTATCAGTCCAGAAAATTTATATCCTTTCCAAGTCAAAATACTTTTCAATACTCGAGCGATATCAAATATTGAATAGTCAATGGTTTGCCTCTTTAAATTGTGTTATCTCTTTTACCTGAACTTTTGATGAACCCATTTACTTCCAATCAATCTTTATTTTACCATCACCGTCTTTTATCATGAAATGAGGTTTCAACTTTACATCAAGACTTTTCGCCTTTCGCCTTACGCATTATATTACATTATAATTATTCAATTATCTTTTCATCTCAAGTGTTATTAATTTTCATTTTCATCTCTTTTTTTCTCTCTTCCTTTCTCGCTTCTTCCATTTTTGCTCAACGAAAAACTGCTCACAAGAGAATCAAATTAATTAACCAACTTAGATGTTCAACAATCATGACTGATAATCAATGTTGAATTAATCAACATTGCAATCAGTAAATGGCTAGAATAAGGGAAAAACGCAAAAAAACTGAAACCGATGAAAACTTTACCAACACAGGAAAGCAAAAAAAGAGTCTCGTAACTTGGCCAAGCAAGGGCAACTTTTGATGCTAGAGCCTCAAGCTTTGCAGGTCAACCTTTACTTGGCAAGTCGCTACTTTTGTCGAGTTTTTTGAGTCTTTTTTTCTTTGAATTTTCAAAGGCAAAATGAGATTAAATTTGAATGATAATGACTTTGATAAACACTTGCAAGGTAAAATAATCAAGAGATAATCAGGATATCCATCATGATATTCATCATTATATTCGCTGTGCTCTTTTTTTCTTCAATCTTGTTTACTCAACTTTATTGTTTCACCTTTTTTTCCCTGCCTCTTCCCTTTAAGTAGATTGAACAATTTACTTTGCTAAAAACATTTTATCATAACAAAAGGTAAAGTATCGTCAACACATAATCACATGGTCTTGTTACACAAAAGTTGAACGAGAAACAAAGCTTCAATGCAAATCAATAACTGATCACCATGATACATTTTTGTTCATGTTAAACCGTTCAACTGAATATGGCAACGAAAAAAGCATTTTCACTCCCTGTGAAAGTTATCATTAGAAATCACTTTTCTTCATAAATCAAAGAGAAAAAAAGTGAATACAACTGAAAATAGAGACTTTTGTGCAACTTGAATGATCAAAATTTCAGCTAATAAATTGAGTGACAGTTTGATAAAGCTGGAGCAGTTTCCATCAATCTGTTAAAAGTTCTTTGTCTAGCTTTTCAGCTCAAATTTTTCTGCTTCAAAAAAAGGTTTTCCACTCTTTGGTTAAACTCTAGAGAGTCGAGTTTTTACCTATTAGCCATAATTTATTTTTAAATTCATTGGTTAAATTGGATTGTAATAATCAAATTTAACGATCGCCTTTTTGGGCTGCTGTTGAGTGAGAGGGAAAAAAATCCAGAATAAGTTAATAAACAGAGTTTTCTAGAAGCAAAAGAAGACGGAAAAGTTCAGTTTGCCTGAAAATTTGTAGCAAAATGATGTTGATGATCATTATTGTTATATTATTTTACTTTACCAATCATGCCAAAGTCAATTAAAGTTTTGGTATTTTTGCAGCTTCTCTGGTTATGAAAAAAAGAGTTTTACATTTTTTTGAAAGATTATTAAATCAAAGTAATCAACATCAAAATGAACTCAATCAAGCTTAATCAATTAATGTGTTGTTGAAAAGGATGTCAAAATGGAATAGTCCCTGGATTTTTCCAACATGTCTTCATGATGTAACGTTGCATTCAAAAATAATGTTATTCAGTTAATAATGTTAAGCTAATGAAAAGTTCCCTCATGAGTAGCAAAGACACAGCGGTCAGTTTATCGTTCAAATCGAATTTTTAAAGACATGAAAGAAATGGTCCGAAAACGCTAAAACGTATTCCTCTAAATTAGTTCTTCGATTTGTTTTGTAATAATGCAAGAACCATAAGTGCTAAGATAAGTTTACGACACATGTTTACAAACCTTGTAACATGAACATTTCATATTTCTGTAAGTTTATAAGTATCTTACGAGATTTTGAGGCTACGAATTCACGAACGGCTAATGATAAGGATCTTAGTTGGAACCATGTGTTTAGGATTGAACAACTTAGAATCTGAATTTTCAAATTTATTCAGCTTCTTATTGACTTTTGAAGTTTTTCAACATCTTTTAGTGTTTGTTAGGAAAGAAACAAGAGTTATCTCAAAATAAACTTATTTACCTGACAAGTAACTGTGAGTAACTTAAATGTGCATATCTTTTGACTTATGAGTACTCAATCTGATCAAACAGAAATCGCGAAAAAGTCAAAAATTTCAGAAAATTTACTTCAAATGGCAGTTGAAGCACAGATTGATAGTGAAGACATAGTAAAGGGAACCCTTTACAAGTTCAAGTTTAACATCACCCTGACCACTGATCAACTTTTTAACTCATTTTCTGAAATCTCAATTACAGCTAAAACAAAGGTAACACAAACTTGTCAACTTTTCGTCTAACAATTTTTAAGCGTTTCTAAAAAAATTTCAACTTTCGTTATAAAGTAAACGAAACTGGATTGTAAGATGAAAAGAAAATGATTTTCCCATTTTCCAGACTAAAATGGCAAACCGCAAACTTATTGGTATTGAATATGATCTTAAGATTAACAACTCATACTAGAGTCTGAGACATTAATAATAATTGAAACAAGAGTTGAAGTACAACTTGAAGGGGAGTGGAAGGAACAAAAAAAAGACCAATCAATTAATTATCAAACTCAAAGATGATCTCAATTGGAATGAATGATGAGATTGGATGAAGGAAGAAACTTGAATCCAGTCACGGGAATCACAAAAGAAATGGTTCATTATTTACGATGAAACAAACAAACAATAAGAGCCGATTATATTAAAGATATCTTGTTATAACATTTGATAGGAATAAAAAGAGTGAGAAAAATGCAATAACTAGTAACATGTATAAATGCATTTATAAATGGAAAGAGGCAGAGAAGATGAAGAAACAAACGAAAACACGAATTGAACTCGAGAACTGGTTTCTCGGGTTTTCATGGAAGAAACAATGAGTTTAACCTTGATGAAACAATACTTTTACGAATATTAATAACTACAATATTGATGTGAACACAATTACCTTTATATTTACCTTTTTTGTGTTTTCTTTTCTTTTATCCAGATTTCCTACTCAAAGTCGAGGTTGGTGTACAATGAGCAATGCCCGTTGGTTAATTGTGGCAACTTACATTTGCATTCCAATCTTCTTTATCCCAACTTACCTGACCTTTGTGGTCAAGGACAACGGTGCTGGAGGCTACAAGGTAAAAACAAATTAACATTTCTCTTGGCAAGAAAAGTTCTAACTTTTCTTATTAACTTTTCGGATCAACATCATTAATCATTTCAAGTGCGATTCAAGTTTCAATTAATTTCTCATTCCATTCATAGCAGCCAGCATTTTGTCGTCAATTCAACATTTTTTTCCTTTTACATTCCATTTTAACTGTAAATTCATTGGTCAAGTGAAACATTCAGTTTAAGAGAAATTTTTTTTCCTTCAATTTACATCAAACATGAGGAGCATTTGCATGTCAACATTTGCATTCAGATGAATCTTGTAAAAGAAAGGTTGACAATTCGATGAGTCCAAACGTTGGAAATTTTGATTAGCAAATTAGCTCGACATAATTAATCATTCAAATCACTTTGGAAATGGAAAATGACAAATTTCGCAAAACTTTTCTAAAGTAGACTTATCCAAATTTACAGGGAATTTTCCCTCCCAGACAACTTGACTGTTATTGTAGTTCAAGTGTATTACGCCTTGCACAGCTTGTAATTTATAATTTTTTTTCGAGTCTACTTTTTCTTCTTCTTTCCTGTAAAGTGAAAAATTGACTCCACTTGTAATCAGATAACCTGTGTAAATAAATATCAAGAGCATGAGATGTTTCAATGGAAATGTGAAAGCTACAAGACATGTTGAAGCAAGGGAAAAAAATGGTGAAAAATTGTTTCCTCTGAATGTTAAAGTTGGACAAGAAAAATGAATGGATAAAGTTGAATGCATTTCTCAATGAATTAAATCAGGTTTTCCAGTTTTGAATAATAATCTTTTCTTTTTCTCATTCTTGCTCAAGATTATTATCATCAGTACAAACATTTGATCAGATTATAAGGTGTTTTTTCTTCAGTAGAAAAGTAGAGATAAATTTGAAAAGTTCAACTTTTAATGTCAACTTGAAATTATCATGGGAACGATTGGGAGTGCAAAAGGCTGGGAGTGCAAGTTGACGAGCAACAGTAGCAAAGAGTTTACTCAAGGAATAAGCTTTTCAATGGCAAGCAAAAACATTATCATTATTATTAAATAAAAATGAACCTTGAAATGCAGAAGAAGTGAATAATCTGATTGAACTGAAATGAACAAAAAGTGTTTTTTCTTCTTCTTTTTCTTTTCAACTGTCCAATCTTGTCAAAAGCTTGAGGGCAAAATTTGAATTAAACTTGTTTATATAACTGAGTTAAAGGTATAAACAAAAAATGTGTATTTCACTTGAACTTGTTTATCAACTTTTCATGTCGACAATGGTTCATGGCGTTTCACCAGCAAAACTTTTCCAATTATCAAAGTAAATGAACTTCTCATTAAACCTTGTTTACTCTTATTCATTAGCTTTTTAATCAAACTTGTTTTTTTGTAGCCTTTTTTACCATTCTAATTAGACCAATTTAATTGCAACTCTTTCTCTGTGTTTCATGGTAAATATAATTGGAAACAATTGATAAGTCTTGCTACTTTTTTTTCTGGTAAAATATGAATAATCATTTTGATTCATTGTTCATCTGGTTAATCGTCGGGTTAATCTATTTACTTGGATGAATAAATTTCAATGATTAACTTGTTCAACCTTTTTTTTGCCCATTAATTGCGTTTCTCAGTATTTAATGTTTTTCGTGTTTCTTTCATTACTTTTCTCATCTATTTTTATTGACTTAATGCCATCAGTTTTGATGGGCTTTTGGTTAACAAAGAACTGAGCAAAAAATATTGTTCAATGTCGATCAGTAATAAAAGTGTTATCTCAAGAGTTTTGGTGAATCTTTAATTGTTGCTTACAGTTTGGATGTTGGGTAAAAGGGCAATAAAAATTGATGTTGTGTTTAATTGGTTTTCATGTAAACTTATTTCCTTCTTGTTGAAGGTAAAATTGGCTTGAAAAGTGATTCACATTTTTATCAACTTGAAATGGTTACCATGTTAAATGAACTGTTTTGCCGTTTGATGATAAGACAGCAAATTAAAGTTGATTACCAAAGTCAATGAACAGTATTGATTAACAATCAAGAATAACTGATTATGTTTCAAGTATTCACGTTTTTACCATGAAACTATAGTCCAAACCATTAGGAGAAACTAAATATTTTTCAAAGAAAGTGGTTCAATCGAAAAAGATGAATTTGAAAAGTTCTGGAAATGGTGAAATCTCAAGTCATTTTTGATTCAATGTTGGTCGAGTTTTTGGAGCAAATATTTCTGAACCTTTCAATTTTTGATACAAAAATGTGTTAGCATTTGATATTTGCAGGGAAAAGAATAATAATGATAAATAAATAAAAACTACAAATGAAAGGATAAACTTGAATGCTTTTTCATCTATTAATATATTAATACATTTATATCCACAAAATGAACATTATGTAATATTATTGATAGGAAATAACGTCCATTATCATTGGTTCAAGGGATTGATCCGAAGTTTCGCTTGCAGATATGTTAATCATGTTAATCAGTCTTTTCATTTTCCTCAACTTTTCCTTTCATTCAGACTAATTGTTGACCAAAATATTATCCATTCATCTTAAACCCTTTCTTCCAATAGGCTTAATCGGAATGAAAAGAGAAGCGAAAAAATGTCGATTAATAATTTAATTTGACTGATAATTTTAGCTGAAAAAAGGCAGGAAAGTTGCCATGAGCAACTGGCTAGTTTCATGGTTCAACCCAATGAACAAGTTACAAAAAAGAAAATGAAAAAAGGAGAAAAAATGATCAAAGGGAAACATGAATGGAATTTTTGGTCATTTCTTTTTTTCTCCCTTTTCCAGATGATTATTAGTTTCCAATTTCAATCCAAATATATTCAATTGAATATCAAACATGAAGACAATATTCATGTTTAACCATGGCTAGTGGTAAATGATAATCGAGAAGAGAGAGAGAGAAGGAAAAATGAAACGAATAAAGAAAAGAACGAAAAGAAAAACATTTTTATTATCTACTTGAATCTCTTGGAATAATCGACTGGCGAAATAAGGATAAATATTAAATGTGCATTATCTTCATGATAAACATTCTGAAGGATTCTGAACTATTCTGTCCAAACGATTCAGTTTCCATCAAGTCCAAGTGTCTTTTCCTCATCAAGATGAAGATGGCAAAAGGATATATCAATGGCAATAATTATCATTCATTCTGATCACAATAATGATAATGGTTCTTGAATACAATTACTTATCAAATGGATCATGTAAACAATTTAGAAACTCATTTGGTGACCAGATTTTTGCTTTTTATTTTTCCTTCTCGAATCAAATTCTCATTATCATTTTTCTTTATTCAATATCAATTTCCAATTCCAATGGATATTTATAATAATTTTTCCTTCTTCTTCTTCTTCTTTGGTTTCTCATTTCATCAATCATAATAATAACAATAATTATAATGATAATGTTGCTGGTTAAGTATCATTAACAGGCACAATTAATCATTTCATTTAAGTTGATCAACAATTTGATTACTTGCCGGTTAAACTGTTCAATGTTGTCCAATTAATTTCAATTAAACATCATCTAATTGGGGAGACAATTTTTCGCCTTTCCAACAATTCATTAATTCATTTTCACTTGAAATGCTTTTATCCGTTTAATTGTTTCACTGTCAACACTTGATTGTTTACCCATTCCTTTAATTGGTTTATTCATTTACCAAAGTGTAACCTTTATCCAAGGCTCATTTACCCATGAAATTCATTTTTATTCAACATTTCCAGTTTTCACCATTTTTCTGGTAACAAGTTTAATCTTGTTTCTTTTGGGTTTCAAGTGTTAAGATGAAAACATTTTGCTAATCATTTTTTGTCAAAATTTTGGGTTAAACTGTTTGTTGATCAAAATTTAGACTGAAATTTGTTTTCCAAATGAAAATATTAATTTGCTTTTTTGCCTCTCAATTTGTTAGGTTGATTGGAGTGACATTTCAATAAATCACAATGAAACACTGAAGCGAATAAATTTTTGGGTCTTCAGTGTTGGAACCAAACTGGTGCCTTGTATACTTTTAACTTACCTTAGCTGGGCTCTTATTCATGCCGTATTAGAGGCCGATAAACGTAAACGTCGACTGAAGGAAAATTGTTATACACTTGCCTCATCGAGTGCAACCAAAAGTGAATACTCGGAAGACTCGCTTGGTTCACTTCACCAGCCAGGCCAGGTTTACCTTGAGGTAAACTCTTTTCGCAAGGTGAGACACCATTCAACCAGCATCAATGGCTCCACACCAGGGGCTCCAGTTAACCTGACTCCGGCCAGTGGAACCACTCAAAGTGATAGGACAACTCGAATGTTGTTGGGCATTTTACTGCTCTTCCTGGCCACTGAATTTCCAACTGGTTTCATTGCTCTTCTCACCGGAATTTTGGGCGATGACTTTTTTCACAATGTCTATTATCCGTTGGGTGATATACTTGATACACTGGCGCTGATCAACAGTGCCGTCAATTTTGTTCTCTATTGTACAATGTCGGAACAATTTCGTTATACATTTGCTAAGCTATTTTTTCTCTGATTAAACCTGTGAATCATTCCATGGTAAAGGTGTATCAATTTGTCAAGAAAAGAGATGAAATGGAAACTACAAATTAACTTGTTTACATGGTTTTTGGCTCAACTATTAAACTTAAAGAAATTCCAATCAAGGCTAATCAAGTGTAAAATTTAATTTTCTGGTTAAATGAGAATAAATTGTTTCATCAATTTCAAAATAGTTGAAAGCTGAAGACAAATTTTCATGAAACAAGTTAATAAATGATGTTCTGCTCAACATCTATTAATGTTACAAGTTGAGTTATCATTATGAATGATTGAATGTTAATAGATGTTAATGTATTAAACAGTGAAACATATTCAGAAAGCAAAGAATCATTCAAATGTGATAAAATGATCCAACATTAACAAATTACTCAACAGATTCATGATAAATATTGAATAAAAAAATGCCAATTTGTTACTCCAGTAAGATGATGAGAAAAAGTAAGCTGACAACAAAAATTGTTTAACATGAAAATTGATTTATCTAAGAAAATATCTGTTTATCTGTTATAATAATTCTGTATAAGTGTATAATGTTCAATAAAGTAAATAGATTTTAATAAAAATTGGATGAGAAAAAAAGAGTAAAAATGCAATTCCATTGATAATAATGTGATTGAGTGTTGAAATTTTAATTGCTGTTCACTCATTACTTGCAGTTTCATGATTGACATTGGTGCCATTGGAAACCCACACATTGAACTGTTGGCAGCTAAAATAGAAAGTTATTTTTGTTCATTTATCCTCAACATGAAATGCTTTTGGTGACTTTGAGTTTTCACTTCAATTACAAGACTTTTCTTCCACATTGGAATATTGAACAAAAAACTCGAGATTTTAATCCGGATCAAAGTTGATGCAAGATTCCATCATTATTATCATGAAATCCTTTCTTGGTCCAGCTTAGTTAAATGTAAATACAAAAGAAGAGTTAATCTTCTACAATTTCATTTGATTTCGATTCTAATTTTGTATTGTTTTACAGCTTTTGAACTTCATTTCTTTACGACAATAAAACGAACGAAATGTTTCTAAAGTTGATGTGAGGAGTTGCATGAAAAAGGATATTCCACACTTGCTGAATGTTCCTGAAGTGAAATTTTTTGTTTCGAAAATTTCGTCTTTTCTAGGTTGCTTGACCAGCAGCCGAAAGCATTGGAAAATAATTCATTAATTTGGCAAAGAAATCAGATTTTGATGAGAATTCTGATGGAAATTTACTCAGTCAATTTCAATGAAAAAAGTTGACGAAGTTTTAAACTCATTTTGAAATGAAATATCGCTTGAATCTGTAAGTTATTAGCGTCATTTATAAAAGATTATGGATAAACTTTTAACTCTTTAAATCAGATTTTTCTATTTTTCATGAATTTTCGAATCGTTAACTTTACTTCAAATGAATACAGGAAATTAAATTGATCTGCTTTTTTCTCGCCAATGATAATAATAACAAGAATATGTTGATAAACTTATTATTTTTGGCAATCATGAGAAAGAAAAATAAATGTTAAAATTGTTATTTTTGTTCACTTTTTTCTCGCCTTTTTACTTTAACATTATTCATTTTCTCGCCATAATATTCAATGTTATCACAATTCTTAACCGGAAGAAGCAATGTATGAAAATAAATGTTATTACATTTCAAATTTAATAACAAGAAATGATTGTTAAGAAAAGCCAATCTGCAGAATGATAATAATAATAACAGCTAGAAAAACATTGAATAATGATTATTATAACGAAATAACATTTTGAACAGAAAAAAATAATAGAAGTAAAATATTGATAGCAAACACTCCCAGAGGATGTTATCATCATTCAGACTTATTGTTATCATCTATCTAAAACTATTATTATTATCATTATTATTGTGTTTCAAATCTTCTATTCACAATTTTCTTTCTTTTTAACTCTTTTCTATCAAATGTTAATCACTTTTTATTGCTGTTATTTTTCACTCGATAAGTTACACAAGAAGATAAAAAATAAGATGATGATGAACATGAAGATATTTTGTGATACTTTTTTTTCTCACTCTTTCTCTTCTTCATCTTTTTGTCCTCTTCTAACAAGAACCAAAGTCCAGTGTTTTTTTTTCTTCATCATCCGTTCTGTTCCATTGAGATGTTTAATGAATTGAATGAAAATGTCTCTTTGAATTGACCAGATGAAAGGAGAGCAAAGAAAGGAAAGCCTGAAAAGAAATACAAAACAAAAAATGAAACAAATAAAACATAAATTCAGTTTATTGATCACAAAAACAAAGTTGATTGTTGGTTCATGAGAAAAAAAAGAAAATCAAAAAAGAAAAAAGTTCAAGGCATGAAGCAACATGAAAAATAAGTGAAATGAATAAAAAGAAGCAACAAAAGTTCCTGAAATTCAAGCATTAAGAATTTGGGAAACATGGAAAAGTCAAATAAAATAAACTTCAATTAATCATCAAACACAAGTGGACAACAGTCAAAATCATCATCAACGTCATTTTCATCATCTTTGTCGTCGCCATCATCATCATCATCATCATCATCTTCTTCTTCTTCTTTTTCTTCTTCTTCTTTTTCTTCTTCTTCTTTTTCTTCTTCTTCTTCTTCTTCTTTCATCATTCTTTCTTCATCGTTTTATTCATAACTTTAATTGTAAAATGTCTCATTAAGAGTACGCCTTGTTGTGTCAATCTCAACCTAATTGAGTTGATCTCGTTGCATCAAAAACACAACTGTTGAGGCAATTTTCCTGTTAAACACTCGTCATCTTCATTTCAACTGTGATTGTGGTTATTAGGTGAATCCTTCAACCTAGACGATCCCCTTTTACCCATCAAATTTTGCCTTATATGAGAACTTTTTTCCGTTGAATATTTTTCGTTTTCATCTCTACTTTCCCCATTGTCTTCCTCATTACCAATGTTGCTCATTCATCTGGAAATGTTCACTAAACTTGAAAACAGTTGATTCACAATCAACACTCGATGAGTTAACATTCACTTGAAGTATTCTCAATTTTTTTTCATCCTTCCCTTGTCTTTATCTTTATCCTTTTTCATCCATTGCATTTCGCTCATAATCTTCAGCCTTCTCTCTCATCTCATCAACCATTTTTTCATTCCTATTCAACTCTATTTCAACATTTCCCTTCATCATTTGAAACAACGACTGGAGAAAAAAAATTTGCTCTTTTGTATAATATTGTGTTTGGAAATCATTTTTTTCAGTTCACTTCTGATTTTCCCTCTTTCTTTCAGCTCAATTCTTGCATCTCACGCTTCCCATGTAATCGCCCTCCCATCAACCTCCCACCATGAAACAATTCAGAATTTTTTCCTCCTACTTTTCATCTTCCTCTTTTCATTTGCCATTCGTCAATTGGTGAAACATTCAGATGAAAAAGATGACAAAAAAGAAGGGAAAAAAACTCAAATGAGAAGAAGGCTAAACATCCTTCAATTTCTTTGTTTTTCACCCACTTTTTGCTTTTCCTTTGCATCTTAATCATTGGCTATGTTTTCAGTCAAGAGCAAAATTCAGTTGAAAAATATTCTCCATTCCTTTCAAGAATCTTTTTTTCTTCTCTGCCAAATATTCATCACATTATACCATTTATCAATCATTTTCATCGGGAAATCCATTCATCAACCAATCATTGCCATTAAATCTTTTCTCATTTCAATTCACGGTTTACAATTCATGGTTATTCCAAGATTTCAGCTTGAACGATCCAAGTGCATTGTACAGTTGTTCAACAAAATTATGATAAGTTAGATAACTAATCAAAAGGGAGGTAAAAAAGAAACTAACTTATATAAGAAGCAAAAAATGAGGAGAAAAAAAGGTTGATGAATTTCCTGCGAGTTGCTGTCTTTTGCTCAACTTACATGTGACTTGATTCCTAAATAATTTCACCATCAACTGTTTAACCTAGTGAAGCAACAATTAATTAACCTAAATCAACATCAAGCCAGTGAAATGTACACAAACACACACACAAAACCAAGCATTTGAATTGAAAAATTTGGCCAAATTGAGAACAAGATTAATCTGAATAAAAACTGAATCAACAAATCTTTAGAGAGTTATTCAAAGTGTTATTTGATAACAAAGCCATGAAATTCAAACTAATAACAATACAATGACAACAATGTAACATTAACAATGAAAGTAAAAGAGATGAAAATGTTCCAGCAAAAAACAACTTGGAGTGATAATGCAATTCAACTTTGAAATATGTAATAACATGTAAAAGATATTTGCTTGAAATTGGAAGCAAAGCCAATTTTTGTAGATGACTATTTAATGATGAAAATTGGTCGATTCATATTCCGTAATCAATTGATAAAGATGAACAAGATTGGAACACAATTTTGGTACAAAAAAAAAGGTTTCTTTTCTAGGTGAACACAAGAGTGACAATTAATCAACTTGTCAAATGTTTCAAGTTTAGGTTAAACACATTTAGAAACATGATTTTCTGGTCAATCTTTGGTTGTAACTTGTCAAAGGCAAGAGGCAAAACTAGCAACCATTATAATGGCAAGTCAATGGTGAAATGATTTGAAATTGTTTTCCATTTTTAGTCAACTTTTGTGTGTTGGCTTCAAAATGATTCCGTCAAATTTGTCTGTCCAAAGGCTTTTCAATCTTTTTAATCAACATTTTGAGGATTGCCTGAAAAGAAACAATTTTTACAGATTTACCTTCTGTTAACCATTTTCATAGTTAATCGTTGCAATTGAACCTGTGTAAGCCTAAAGCATTACTCTCTGCCTTTAACTCTTCACTGGTTACAATTAATCAATTGGTTCAACACTTTGATCTGATCATTTGTTCAATCAATTGTTTCCCTTCACATTTTCATCACTCAAAAGCTTCAATCAATTTGTTATTGTATTACCATTATTATTGAAGTTGACTGGTTTTTGTATATAACACAACATCTAATAATATATTGTATATTTGAGATGCCTTTTGTTTGATTTCAAGAATCCATAAAGGCTTTGATGGAAACAAGAAGAAGAGGAAAGTAGAGAAAAATTTGAAGGATAAAAAAGTGTAATTTTTATATAAAATTTTCTTCCTTTTCTCATCTTTTCTTTCACTGTTTGGACCTTTTATTTTAACCTTTTTTTGTGTGCCTTCATCTATTAAAGGATTTAACCTATTTATATGTATTTCATCTTATTCATTTGATTCCCCTTTTCAAATGAGAAAAGGTACAAAAAAGGTTTGCTTTCCAAGTTTGACTTTGCACAAATATCACAAAATTACACTCTTCTCATGTCATCACAAAAACATCATTTTCATGTTCAAATTTTCTGCGGCAAAAATAAAGTCAAGGTAAAATGAATGGGAAAAAACACTAATCTTTACATTCATTTGCTTTTATTCAACCAGGAACCGTTACATGGTAAAAGATGAACATTACTCTTTATACATTTATTAGAATCACTTTTATCATTGATATTAATTTTTCCATCTTTTCAGGTTAACCTTAATGTAATCTGTCAAACAGTCCAAAGATAATGTTTTGCTTGTTTCCGTCAAATTGATTAATTGGTTTCATCTCATTGTTTACAATCGAGTCTCTCATTATCATTTCTTGCTTCCAATTGATCATTTTTCATCCCACAAATGGTCAGTTTAATCCTTTCTCATGATCATTGTTTTTTCCATTTACTTTTCATTTTTTTTCCTTTCACCCAAATTCAACCTCTTGTTTACCTATCTGGATATACTTTTCAGGATTTATTTCTGTGGTTACAATAAATACTAACTTTGAGATTTATTGTTAACGATGTAAACAGCCACAAAAGGAATCTCTCAATCATCAGTTTTACTTCAGCTTTCAACAAGTTCAGGTTCAGGCAAGTGAAAACTTCTTTACCTTGGAACATGGAAAATCTTTCGAGTCTAAATTGAAGTTTATTCAGTGGTTGGACAAATTGGTTAAAGTCGCTTTTCTTGAGGATTCACCGTGCTTTTTTGCCCTTCGTTTCAGTTAAAGGTTACCAAGAAACTGGAAATGTGTTTAGTACGTCAAATGCAATAAATCAACTATTAATATTAATGTGAGATTTTGTTTTCTGGTTGAAAGATTGTTATTATTATTAGCTATAATTTTGGTAATTACTTTTAACTGGTTAAACTTAATTATTGCACATTAGACATTAAATCATTATGATTGGACTGGAGATTCAAGTGTAAATGAGCAAAAATATGAAATACATTCTGAAAAGAAGCAAATTAACATTGGAAATCGTAAAAACAAACATCTTTCATTTACTTTCTTAATGATGAAAATTGAAACTCTTTTTAATGTTAACCATTATTGAGTCTTTTTTTCAATGAAATCAGTGTTTTCTTATCATCATCATTATGAAACTTCACTATTTTGCAGTAACCATTTGAAATCAATTGAAGTAGCAAGCCAAGAAAGTTTATATTAACTGTATAACTATCTTTAATGGTTGATCAACTTTAATCTTTGATCGACTCGGCAGAGGTTTTGTTCAACATTATCCTTTCATTGTTGTTTCTTGACCTTTTGATTTTCTATTTTTTCGTCTTCTGCCTTTCCTATTCTCTATTTTTATACATTTTGAGATTAATTCAGGTAAACAGATATGTGAAGACACAAAATGAAAAGTGAAAAGCTGCAAACTTTGTGTATTATTCAATTTGATCACAGAAGCAAAACACAGAGAAAGTAGAAAAAATTAGTCTTTTTCTCCAATACAAATTGTTAGCCTTTGTTTGGTTCCTTATTTTGTCCTCCTCTTTTTTTTGGTGATGTACTGCGAAATTTTTGGTGAACAATATCCTTATTCTGGTATTTTTTGTCCATAGACTTCAAGTTTTAACTGGAGGAATCTTTTGAATCAACTGGACTTGAAACTGAATGTGTACATGTTTGATCAAGACAGACAGAGGCTAGAGATAAAATCAGATGCAGAAGCCTTGGTAGTGATTTGATGTGAGCAGCCATAAGTCCACAATGACTTTATTATGGTCATTCAATAATGTTGTTATTGTCCAATTCAATGGGATTGATTCCAGACGTTGTATAAGAAAAAAAAGGGAATGAGAATAGAGTGGGAAAAGGGTTCTCTCTAGAAGAGTTTCTCGTATACAAATAATACAAATTGAAGAGAGAAAGAAGAGAAGAAAATAAAAACAAAAGAAAACTGATTTTCTCTATTGCAAGCTTTTACAGTTGTATTTGTTTCTTCTTCTTCTGGCTCATTCTTGAATCATTTCTCAATCATTCGAAAGTAAAATGCAGGAGATGAAAAGAGGAGAAAAAATTGAACAGCAAAATTGATAAATCAAATCACAGAATGAATGTGAACTTGATTAGGCTTGTTGGTATATTGTCACCTTGAAGAAGCAACAGCGAAGAGAAGATTTTTGTTGAGATTCATAAATTATGATATTTCCATTGTCTTTGTGATTATTGTTGTCTAATAAACTTGCTGGTCAATAAAGGATTCTTGTTGTGTTATCCCATGTTGCTGTACATGAAGATGGTGATGATAATGATGATGATGAACATTGTTTCTGTAGTTGGTTGTTGTACTTTTTCTTTGTTTCAAATTGATTGCAATCAAGATCAAATCCAAGTATTGCAGTCAGCATAAATCCTTTTATGTACATGGTTTTTTTATTGGATTTTAAAATTATTTCCCATTCTGACTTTTGATGATTATTTTATTAATCATTCAATTGCTCTGTTGAATTGTTTGGTTCATTGTTAAACAATAATCTGCATTTTGTTTCCTTATCAGATCAATTACGGTAATTTACAGGCAAATCCATAATTGTAACCTAAAAAGGTAATCATAAAGTTAAACCAGAACGGAATCCTCTTCAATCTCTTCAAATGAGCAGTTTCCACAACCATCAAATCTATCATGAATTAAGGAAAAAAAGAAACAAAAATAAATCATTAGATAATTTTGAACGGTTGAAAAAAATGATATGAAACAATGATTATGTTGTTAGCGATTAATGGGTATAAAAATTGAGTCTATGTTTGAAATTTATATCATATAAGTGGATCATAATTTTATAGCTAAATTAGAGTCAAAGGAAACAAAAACAAATTAATATAAGATATTAAATATAGTCAAGTATAGTAAATCAAACAAATAGTAAAATTCATAAGAATTGACATTAAACGAGTAAATATTAGGTTGTTAAAATCGTAAATAATATCTGTTAAACGTTGAAACGGGTGATGATTGTAAAAGAAATTGCAATGAATAAAACAAGCCATTAACTTTTTTAATAGTTTGTTTCATTTTTTCCTTCAACAATAATCAATGTATTCACATCTCGCCAGTTTAAGCTTAAAATGTCAGCCAGTTGTCAAAAAAGGATCACATAACCATATTAACTGACATATTTCATTACAAAGAGATGTACGTTTAAAATTATCATCAAACACTCCAAGTTTTAAAGAGCATGGTTAATATTTCGCTGAACCTTGAGACTTAAAGGTCGATAATCATTTGTCTAAAATGTCTAAGTTCTAAGCATATAATAGTTAAATTGTGACATTTAAAAGTCTTACTTTAAAGCAAATTGGTGAAATTGTTGCAGTTGTTTAACTCGATGAGTTACACTGAGCAAAGTACAGCCAGTTTCCACGGTTAAATATTGATAGACGCGTTGTTCAACATCAACTGAAACTGCTGAAGTACACTCATCAAGAATGGCAAATAGTGGACGATTGTAAAGACATCTGGCAATGGCAATTCGTTGTTTCTCTCCTCCGCTAAATACTTCGGCCCAATCATGAATGGAATCCATATTGTAATCTCTTTCCAATAAGTAGGTTAGTTCGACTTTGGCTAATAATGTTATGAGATCAGAGTCAGAGACTCCTTTTCGTTTCATATCAGCAACAGTGTCTGGATAGATTATTTGATCTCGAAGAGTTCCCAATGCTAAATAGGGTTTTTGTGGTATATAAAATAACCTATTATTGGGCGGTTTGATTAGCTTTCCACCACACAATGGCCACAATTCACCAATAATACGGAAAAGAGATGATTTTCCGCATCCATTAGGTCCTTTAAGAAATGGAAGAAATACAATTTTCAATCAAATTTTCAATTTTTGTTGTAAATTGCTATTATTTACCTGTAACAATAACGTTTTGACCTTGCTTAATAGTAAACGATAATGACTTGCAAAGTACATCTCCTCCAGGAGTACACAGAGGTACTTTATCGAATACAATTTGAGGCTTGGTAATGTCACAAAGTTGAATTACACCCGCTCCAGCAGTGAACATGCTGTTACAACGTTTTGAAGTTGAAAGTGACCGTCTGTTAGCTTCAATTGAGCGCATCAACTGAGTAACTCGTTGTGTGTACGCAGCAAGACGAGAAAGATCCCGACCAGCTAAGACCAGACGACCAATACTTTCAGCCAAGCGAACCATCATACGACCCGATTTGTAGTAAGCTTCTAGACGATCCTGTGTGGTTCCAGGCATTGAATTTGAAAAGAATGGAATTGCAAGGGACAAATAACCAACTACAACCGCGAAATCTACAAGTAAAATGATAAAACGTTGATTAGTAAAATGTTTCGATGAAGATGAGTTTTACTTACATCGAGCAATTAAATTGTCTAAGAAATCTATATTAAATTTAAATATAGCCACATTATGAAGATGATTTTTGAGGCGATTGAGTGCAGACATCAGTGTTAATCTTTCTCGGTTGTTTCCTTGATAAAATGCCACTTCCTCGCAATTAGCAATCAATCGTGAATGCACATAACGCAATTGCCCTTCTAATTGCGTTTCTTTGATTGTCAACCGGGTTAGAGGTCGACGAACAGAAGTCAAAATGGTACCTGAAACCAAGAGGTAGGTAATCATTGCTCCTGGAGTTTTAAAACCAGTGTAACTAACTGATAATCTATAAACAAGAGTGAAAATATCCAACAATGGTTTGGCAATATTGGAATAGACATCGACCAAAGTGTTACAAAATTTTTCCACATCACTTGTCAATAATTGATCAAGATTACGGCACTGATCATCGAAAACGTTGATACGATAATAAGTGAGTCCATCAATGTATTTATCGTACAGAATGATGGATAATTTGTGTCTCAAATTAAGACGAAGTTGGTTGAGAAAATATTTGAACAAGTTATTAGTTACAGCTAAGGTTGGCATGGCCAGGAAAAAGGCTGATAGATTGGACTTTAATTTGGAGAGATTAGCCGTAATAATGGCTGCTTCAATTTGAGTTCCATTACTCATTAACCAAAGATCATTGATTGTTTTGACAATCAAAATGACTATGACACCAAATCCATAGGCATACTCTTTACCTCCAGCAATCATTTTAAGAATCACTTTCAGCTCGGCCATGGTTTTGGATAAATTTTCCGTCTTGGGTCGTGATAATTGTCCATCTTTTTCCAAGAATAATGGCTGGTCATCCAAATTTTTAGACTTTCTGGAAAGAGATGCAAAATAAATTTATGAGTAAGGTGCATTAAGACAAACTTTCGAGCTAGTAATTAAACTGAGACGAGCAAAATCAAACAACAATTTGATTATGCTTTGTTGAAATTCATATCTAATCGTTAAATCACAATAAATCTACAGTATTGCAATTATTTCAAAATGTTGACAGAAAATAAAAAACTTGAAGCTTTAACCAAGGCTAACTTGATCATCATTATTGGCTTCGTTGCTTACAAGCTTTTAAAGTTTGAGGCAATTTAATTGAAGCGATCAAGCAAAGGGAAAAACAGTGACAAGTTTCTTAAATGAGGAAAACCGGAAAAAATTAACAGTGAAAACAATCGCTCATATTTGGTACTTCGATATGCAGAATGAGGTAAAATCTGACTGCCAAAAGCTTCAAATCTGAACCAATGAAAACATTAAATTTAGATGGAAAGGTTAGTGCAGGTCAGTTTAGATTAATCAAAAATTACCTTTAAGTTTAATCAGGGAATCAAAGAAAACATTCAAAAATAGGACAAATGAGAAAACTGGATATACACTTTCATACACTTTACCAAAAAATCAGCTAAACAACAACTTACTCTTTTTTTACCTTATGACCCGTTTTCCAAATATCAGAAACAACAAAAAGATAAAATTTGCAATTTATTCAATTTATTTCCTCTCTCACACTAACTTGATTCAGTTAATTAGTATTGAATATGTAACCATTTAGTCTCATTAATGTAATAATTAATTAGTAATATCCGAAGACAATAAAAAATATCAAAAAAACAAAAAGGTCATTGCATAATGTATTTGGATCTTACCTGTTCGACTTTCCTCTGGAAAGTACACTACAAGTCCATAGAGTCAGTGAAAGAGATGAGCCGACAATCAGTACCCATTGATTACGGGTGATTTTAGATCTATTTGGAATACTAAATTTAGAAAGAATAGACATGATGATGATGATGATGATGTGTATACAGAATGATGGTGATAATGAACCAGATGAAAAAAGACTAAGTTGAAGGAATGATTGGTACAATTAGTGAACACCGGGACACATATTTCTAACCATTTGGAGACAAAACTGATTGTTTAGAGTTGAATGTTTTATGTATCACAAATGGTTGTACGGTCGCTTTGCCAATAAGTCTGGTTGTTGTGATGGTTTTCTTGGTGTTGATGTTGTCTTGCGTCTACATCAACATGCAAAAAGGAAAAGCCCTTTGAGTTTGTTAAATCTCTCACTAGGTAACCAGAATAAACTGTGAGTCAATGGCAAAAAGACCGGGTAACTTGAAGAGTAAAAAAATTGGAAAGGTCCAGAATCACATTTAGACATTTAACAATTAAAAATTCAATGAGTGAAGATCAATTATACGTATACTTGATGATAAGATTGGTGAGGTTTAACTGTTTACTAAAAATGAAAGTCAACTAATGACTGAAGACTGAATGAAAGTTGTTGTAACCTGAAAGAAACAAAAATGGGAGAAAAGAGAAGGAAAAACTGACAAGTCTTTAATGTTCTTTTTTTGTATCATGACGTTTCAAACTATCAACAGCAACATTAACTTGAAGCTCACCGATGAAGTGCGTACTAAATATCAAATTCAATTAATTTACCTTTTCTTGTATAAACCAGATTTATATTCAGTTTCTCTATCGATTAACTTACATTTTTCCTTTAAAAGATGTAACAAAATATTGGAAAAAATTTACCTTCACAAGTTAATTTAAAAATGATTTTTTTTTTCATTGATTTTCATGCAAATTTTGAAAGGTTAAAAATGATCAATTTATTGTTGTCTTATTAATCATCTAATTTAATTATTCTGTAGCAATTACAGCCGATTGAAGGAAACAAAACAAAATGATTGAGGTAATTAAATGAATCAATGATAGATTGAGTTACAGACTGGAGTTACACAATTGAATGGTATTAATACATTATCACTTTGATTGTAAGACAAATTAGATCTTGTTAGAAATTCAAAGAAGGTGGGGAAGGATTTTATGCTTTGTGTCGTTTGCAAGACTATTTTCCTCCGCTCTTCCTGAAGGCATCATCAATGGCTGCTTGACTGGCCTCCTCGAATTCACATGCTTGGATGTATTTGTAGATTCCAACTAGTGCTCTTTTAAGAGCTTCGTAACTACTTGAGTAAAGCATCTTTTGTTTAACTCTAGCCCCCTCTGGGCACCTGTAAATTGTCAAATTATACGCATCCGGAGTGATGTCATGTTTAAAATCAGGAGCAGTCATCAATTTATGGGCGTTAATGAAGTTAGATCCAAACAAATTAACAAGGTATGCATATTGATTAATTATCATGATTAACAACAATTATCAGGGTGAGAAAATTGAAGATGGTGTAGTAACCAGAACGGAAAAAGAAAAACGGAAAGAATGAAAATTAGCAAATGTGAGACTAGAAAAACCGGATCATTTATATTACAAAATGACATTACCATCTCATGAGAATGAGTCTGTTAACACTCATACTTTGCGTATCCTGCGATCCCTCAACGGGAATATTGGCCGGGAAATCGAAAACACAGTAACGACATTCTGTCTTGAATTTGTTTAATTCCTCTAGAAAATCGGCATAAGTTGCATCCCGAGGTCCTGTTGATTCCACATCAATTACCTAATATGGACAAGGGAAAGACAAAACGCTTCTATTAGATAATGAAAGGGTGTTAATTGCTACTAATCAACAGCGAAAAAAAGTGATTAATAAAATCGCAATATCATTCAACAACAAAGATGAGGATGTTACCGAAGCATTGAAAGGAAGGGCGTGCAAGGGAAGACAGAAAGAAAGAGAGAAAGAGAAAATAGCAAAAAAAGAAAGAGAAAGAGTAGAGAGGAGTAAGATAGAAAATGAAAGAGACAAAAATAGATGATGGGAAAGAAAGACGAAAATAGATGAAAAAGATAGACAAAATTATTACTCACTCTTTCATCCTTTATATGGTAGATTATATATCGGTATTTCCTATCCTTTTTAACTTCTTCATATACGGTTTTTGCTTCCGTGGATACAGTAACTCCAGATGACTGTAATTAGGAATAAAAAATTTAATTAAAACATGAGCAAACCAATGGAAAGCAAAAATGCAAAGTAACCAAAACAAAAAAAAGAAAAGGCTTTTAAATGATAAAAAGAGCAAAGAAAGAGAGAGAAGAGAGAGGAGAAAAAGAAAAGAAAGGCCAGGAATGAGAAAAAAATTGAGCAGAAATGAGCATAGAGATGAGGTGAAAAAAAAGATGAAAAGATGAAGAGAAATAAAGATTCAAAAAAGGACACATAAAATACTAACCATGGTGGTGAGAAAAGAAAGAGATTAATTACAATGTTGAAGACACTTTAACAAATAATATACAAAAGTCAATAATATTGAAATTTAAATGGGCAAATATGTGAAGGATGAAACCACCAAGGCAAATAGACAAGTTTTATTGAGAGGAAAAAAAATGATACTGAAATTAACGCAAAAGTGAGAGATCTGAGCTAAAATTGACACCGGCGGTTACAGTTGAAATTGAGAATGCGCATCAACCACGTGATCTCTCGCGTCACATCCGTTCATGAAATAACTTAACCAAAAAAAGACTCAAAGGCTCAACCGGTTTCCAGTCAAACCTCTCTTACTTCAAGCGACATCTATTACATAGCCTTTAAGCCTGTTGGCTTTTTGAGTTAACTGCAATTTTTGCACTCAAAAATTGTTTGCTTTTGACCAAAGCCCCCTATCTAGACTGTCATACCTGTCTAATCGAGATGACAGCTCTTTCTTTTTCTCTTTCGTCTTTGGTAAAAATTTGAAATGAAAGGGGGAAAACAGAGAGAACTGTCAACAAGCAAAGTCTCAGGTAATGACTCAACTTTTGTAATGGGTTACTCTCTTGCGATAGTATCGATTTGCACAACAGACTATTTTTAAAATGTATCGATGTATTTAACTGTTTTCCTTTGGCGCATTTTTACATCAAATATTTTTTTTATTCCATTTCATTCATCTTATTATTTTTCATTGTTTCATTCATTTTGAGAAATTGGTGATTTTTTTATCAAGTTATCCTGATGCCTCCTACCATGAATGACTCAGGTGATAATCGTCAAATTTTAATTCAGGCTTAGCCTAGTGGGTAAAGGTTGGGTTAAAGTGGAGGAGATTTTAGGTTCAAATCCCGGTGCTTTATTTTGTAGATTAGTTTAGAATTAGAATTTTTTTAGTAAAATTTTGTTGATTATTAATTGACAGTGAATCAGATTTAATCTTATTTTAATTCTGCCTTTAACCAACACACAATTGTGAATGTAAAATTTAAAATTTCATGTGTAAAGTTGTAAAATAAAAAGCGCGCTCGACTCCTTGCTGATCCTACTCTTTACCCAGATTCTAAAGACTAGATACTTTTCTTGTGCAAATAGGCTTTACCCATTTTTACATCAAATATTTTTTTTATTCCATTTCATTCATCTTATTATTTTTCATTGTTTCATTCATTTTGAGAAATTGGTGATTTTTTTATCAAGTTATCCTGATGCCTCCTACCATGAATGACTCAGGTGATAATATTGCTTTGGAGGAGCAAACCATTGAAAGTGAACCAGAGAGTAAAGTTTCCTTTGCCGGTGCCACACTTCATTTAAATAGTCATCAGGATGCAATTCCTATCATCACCGCTATTCAGGATTGCCCTAATCTTAAATGTTTCAATTTGGAAGGAAACACTCTGGGTGTCGAAGCTGCGGAAGCTATTTCTGATGCTTTAGCATCTAAGCATAGCCTTACTCATGCCATATTGAAGGATATTTTTACCGGCCGATTGAAAGACGAGGTACCACCAGCAGTTAGATCATTGATGAAAGGTATTCTCTCTTCTTCTGCTCGTTTGGTTGAATTAGACCTCAGTGACAATGCGTTTGGACCTATTGGTATGGAAGCCTTGGCTCCTTTTTTGGAAAGTGATTCATGCGAAGATTTGAAAATACTGCGTCTCAACAATAATGGTTTAGGAATTGGAGGAGGTAAAATATTAGGACGAGCATTAAACAATTTAAAAAATTTGGAAGTCTTTGTTTGTGGTCGCAATCGTTTAGAGAACCCAGGAGCCAAAGAAATAGGTGCCTCGTTGTCCAAGTAAGTGATTTGTCCAGACAGTCATTTGTGATTTTGTGACTCTTGTTTAGTATTTAACACTTGTTTGCTTTCTGTCTCTCCTACAGTTTGGACAACTTACGACACATAGAAATGCCTCAAAATGGTATAAACTTAGCTGGAATCGAAGCTTTATCAGAAGCTATCAAGGAGAAAATTCAAATACTAAATTTAAGTGATAACACAATGACCACTGAAGGGGGACGAATAATTGGTGAGGCCTTGAGAAAAACTAAACCAAAGCTCCAACAGGTCAACTTCTCAGATTGTCTGTTGAAGAAAGGAGGATTTTCATTTATTTTGGAAGCCATGAATGATACTGGCATACTTGAGAATTTGCAATGGCTTGATGTCAGTGGTAATGAGATCGGGGGTGAAGAAGTTGTTGATTTAATAGTCAACATATTTGGCGATTCCTCAAAAAACTTTACTGGCCTAACGTTAAATTTGAGTAGCAATGTTTTTGGTGAAGACAATTGCTCATACATTCTTGATGAGTTGAATGATAAAGTCACTGTTATTTTAGAGTAAGTTTTAATTCAAAAACTGTTTATTTAATTGCTAATTTATCTTTTAATATCTTTTTTTCAGGGAAGATGAAGGTGACCAAGAAGAATACGAGTACCCTGATGATTACCTGGAGGACTCAACGGATACAGGAGGACCGCGGGTAGATGGATCAGAGGAAATTCGGGAGTTGGTGGAAGATGAAGCAACTACTTTAGATGAATTGTGCTCAGCTTTTGTGAAAATTACTACTGAAGGATTTAACGAATCAACTTCTAGTTTACCAGAAAATGTTTTAAAAGATTCTGATTTGCTAATCAAAAGATTAATTGAAAAAGGACCTTCTTATGAATCAGCTCAAGCATTATTATCGCACTTGGGTTTGATCAAGAGTGAAGAAGGATACCACAAAAAAACCCGAGACTTAAGAGGTCCATTTATTGCGTTAACTAATTGTCGTGGTCATTTGAAAAAAGTCCAAGTCGATGCTTTACAATTTTCTCTTGGACGAATTCCTACTGCTACAGATACAACAGGGAAACTTAAACACAAACTAATGCAAGCTTTGTTCACCTAAATTGTAATTTCAAAGTAACAAAAATATGTACACTGCATAAGAGAACGTAAAAATTTTAATGAAATTGTTTAAATTTAAATAAACTATTTTAGGTTTAAACTGTTTAATTAGTAAAACGATCGTAAACATAACAAAATCATTCCATGAACAAGTCTATCACATCGGATAACCCCTTTTAAAGAGAACTGGATTAAAATTTACAAGCCTTTGGTTGAAACACTTCTAGTTCAAGTTAGATTTAATATGAAATCTAGATTATTGCAAATACGGACCTGTCCAGAGACTAAGACTAAAGATGCTATCCAAAAGGCTGCTGATTTTGTCCAAGCCTTTGCCCTTGGGTTCGATGTGGAAGACGCAATTGCCTTGCTACGATCGGACCAACTATTTTTAGATTCATTTCAAGTTGAAGATGTCAAAATTTGAAAGGTGAACAGGACTCGAATTGTTATTGCTGCCCATAAAATACACATTTTAGGATCTTACCAAAACATTTGGACAGCAGGGACAGCAATAAGTAATTTAATTCTTGTTCGTGCGAGGAAATTGAAAGGAAAACTTGAACACAAACTAATCGACAATAAAGATCAATTCTTTATTCCTGAAAGGATTAATGTAAGATTTACTAAACTGCTTAAGTCCAGCAAAGTAGATTAAAATCCTTTTCTATTTAAAGACAAAACAAATCTTCTCGTTTTGTCAGTTTTCATCTAGATCTATCTTCCGTCAAGATCAAAATGACTTTGTTTGTATCCTTTTTTCTAGTTACCTTTCCAATCATTTCAAATGGACTTAAGTTGTCCCATGAAATTAAACAATCAAATATTTACTGTGGTGTTCGTGCTACCGACAATGAATTGATTGGCCGTGTCGTCGGTGGTCGTGATGCTGTTCCAGGAGAAGTTCCTTTTTTCGCATCAATAGAAGAAAGCAAATTTTTCAATATATTTAAATATAAAAAGTGTGGTGGTGTTTTGATTTCAAATCGATGGGTCTTGACTGCAGCCCATTGCACACTCAGTTGGTTTGCAACCTTACGAGCTATTTTAGGTGACAAATTGAACAACAAAACAATTGAAGTGGAAAAAATTTACGTCCATCCAGATTTTAAGCGTGAAACATTGGCAAACGATATCGCCCTTTTATTATTGAAAGAACCAGTTCAGTTTAATAGGAATATTCAACCAATCTGTTTACCAGAGCCTGGCGAAGATGAAACTTTTTATGGTCGCCATGGAACAGTTGCTGGTTGGGGAAAACTAGGTGAGTGAATTTATTCCTATTCAATTTAGTTCATACTAATCAAGAATTATTTTTTTCATTATTCTTACAGATCCACAAAAGAGAGAATTACCAAGAAATATGCAAATAACCACTTTGCCGATCATCAGATATGATTCTTGTCGCAAATCTTATGCAAAAGCTGGACACAACGAAACAAAGATCAATGATTCGGTTTTGTGTGCTGGTTACCCAGAAGGCAAAAAAGATGCCTGTTTTGGTGATTCTGGTGGTCCGTTGATGGTCAAAGTTTCAAACCATTGGGTGCTTGCTGGGATCGTATCAAATGGCATAAGCTGTGCGAAGCCTGATCTACCCGGAATATACACCAGAGTGGCATTTTTCTTAAACTGGATTAAAGGAATAATTCACTGATCTGTACTTATAGACCTTTCATTAATCTGTATGAATTGAAAATATTAATAAATTAGATGAAATGTATTTTTGAAAAGATTGAAAGAAAAATTTTAAATTTTCAGCTTTGTTTCTTTCATACAATATATTTATAATAATGAGGTTAAAGTCTTCCGTCTCCTAATTGTCCACTCTTATGATCTAATTCCAATTCCGATAATTTCCTCCATAACTCGTCTCTTTCTTTTTCTTTCCTCTTCTCTCTAAATGGAAATGAGCAGTGAAATAATTTAGTCAATATCAACCAGAGGTTTTTGGCAGAGAGACGCACTTTTGTCTTTCTTGTCTATAACTTCCAGTCAATTCGTCAAATAACTTAGAGTTTACTTCCATAAATGTCTTCAAAACATTGTAAACAAGTGCAATGATAGTCTGGTTCCAATGTTCCTTAGATATTTTATATAATGCTGGAAACATGATTGGCATTATTGTATTTGAATTCTCCTCGATTAGACTTAATATGTATTCGTTATGCCAAAAGTAGAGAGCCCGCTCCGCAACCTATGAAATGTAAGAAGAGAACAAAAGAATGGAAAAATACATTAATAATTCAATTATGAGATATTAAATTACTCAATAGGCGTAAGAGCATTACATAGACATAATAAATCAGCAAAGTTTAAAGTTAAATGAGAAAAAATTAAGTAAAGTTTCCCTCGGAAAAAGTAGAATACAAATTGTGTAAAGACTGTTTTGACATTACTGCTTAACTCAAATAAGCAGAAAAAAATATTCAAGACCTTAACAATATGACACACATTGAAAATTGCTGTTAAATAACTCAAGAATCATCATGATCAAATATCGAAACAATAAAAAACAATAAAAAACAAACCAAGCACAACAATCAAATGAATCAAGTATTAGAGCGCTCCATTGATGGTTACCCTCGCACAGTTAACTTAACTTGAGATGGATAAAAACAGTTTTAAGTTACTCTCCAGGTCTTATTTGATCAGGGAAAAAGGTTTGGACAATTTCTGATAAGTTTTGATGGAGTTGTACGCTAAAACGAAAATTTTTGACGAAGAAATTTTTTGAGCTCAAAAATCAAAATTTTTTACAAATGTTGTTCTTCGTTGTTCAAGAAAATTAAAAATTGATCAACAACAAATCATAATCAGCAGCTCGTAATCAGAAGAAACATAACTTCTTTTTGGCTGCATGTTTTAGGCCAATATTTAAGCAGGCCCATGATCACGGATTCAGTTAAAGTTGCGTCCTTCTCTAGGAATTGTACAACACAGTAAGCAAGCTAAGAAAAGGGAATAAAAATTGATACATGATTAAAAAAATGAATAAAAAATAGAAGTGATTGATGGCAATTACTAATATAACATCTTTGGGTAATGTTTGAAAAAAGGAGTTTAAAGGCAATGATAATGGTTACTCATTTGTAATACAAGTGCCCAAAATTTCTGTGGCAACATTTTTTTGTAAAAATTAATTTTATTATCTGTAAAAGCATTAAAATTGAACATCAAGGTTAACTAAACTAGGTTAACATTTTGACGGTTCTGCACTTCCATTTTCAGCCATTCTGATCAACCAGGATATCAAAATGACGAGATTTATACTTTGAATGTGCAAAATTGATAATTTTGAATTTCTCATCAGAACAAGGAAAACAACAAATACAACAAATACATCAATAGTTCCTAATAACGTTATAATTGGTTAATAAGGTGAGTAAAAAGAAGCAAATGACAATATTATATCAAACATTGATAAAAAAAATGTTTTTCATCATTGACAAGGTTGCATTTGAAGCAGAAAGATGAAAGTTAGGAATACAAGGAATCAATATACACCCATAAATTAATACTAATGGGCAAGGATGTTTCTATGTGAAGCATTTTGACCCATAATCAATTAGACCTTAATGCTTACACAACGATAGTAACGTCAACAGTATGGTAAACGTTGAAAAACATTGGGTACTTGCTAGAATTTCAATGAATATCTTAAGTTGAAAGAAGTCTGTTTTACCCGAACTTTATCTTACAAGTGAGGTGACCCACCTGGTACGATTTGATTTGGGAAATTTCATGATAAATCGATGGTAATAAGTTAAAAAACATGTTTGGTGAAGTGTTAGGACCTGCAAATTTTGGCTTCAATTTTTATTCCAATTTTAAATCTAATCAGACCTATTGTTATCAACAGAAACAAAGACATTTCACAACAAACTAAACAAAATGAATGTTAGCCTCAACTTAAGAATGGCAATTTTTCATAGTTTCAGTTCATAATCGGAGGAACTCGGAGGAGGAAATCGGAGAGTTCCATTCAATCGGATAAACAAGACCAAACAATAGTAAACTGCTCGCCACTTGCAATCAACTACAGTACCAATCATCTGAGTGTAATCAAATTGAGTCTTTCAAATGTGGATTGAATTTAGCATAAGCGGTTAAACGAAACTTGCAATGATTGCGACAGTTTCTTGTAATAATAATAAAAATAATAAATGGTTTAGTCATTGGGGGGGCAATTTCGAGAAGAGGCTTAATTCTTGATTCCTGAAAGGATTTATAATTTTGTTTTACCTCATACATGTTTTTAAACCGTTTAGGACTCGTTAAGAAGATTGAAACGCTTGCTATTTAAGATTCGTTCTGTCAGTTCCCTCATTCATCTCTCGTCAAACTTAAAATGACTTTATTTGTGTCTTTTTTGTTGCTTATTTTACCCATCGTTTCAAATGGACTCCCATTTTCTCATGAAAAGTCAAACTCGACTTTCCGATCTTATGAAAATGAATTGACTGATCAGGCCTGTGGTCGCGATACTACCCCAGGACAAGTGCCATTCTACGCTTCTATAGAATGGACATTTCAAAATTGGCATTACAAATTGTGTAGAGGTGTTTTGATTTCAAATCGATGGGTCTTGACTGTGGCCCTTTATGCACAAGAACATGCCCTTTATGGAACCTTACAAGTTGTTTTAGGTGACGAACGGAACAACAAAACAATTGGAGTTGAAAAAAGTTATATCCATCCCGATTTTAATCGTCGAACACAAGAAAACAATATCGCTCTTTTATTATTGAAAGAACCAGTTCAATTTAGTAGGAATATTCAACCAATTTGTTTACCAGAGCCTGGACAAGATGAAACTTTTTATGGTCGCATTGGGATGGTTACTGGCTTCAAAGAACCACGTGAGTGATTAATTCTTTTTCTTTATTCATACCTAACAATTGACATTGTTTATTCTTTTATTCTTAAAGATTCATGGGGAAGAAAAATTGAAGGCTCAAATATGCAAGTAACCACCATAATTAGATCTGATGATTGTGGTGAATCATACGAAAAATTTGGGTACAACAAACCAATTATCACTGAGTCGTTTATGTGTGCTGGTTACACCAATGATGTAGAATACGTATTTATTCCTGATCGTGGCAATCCATTGATGGTCAACGTTGAAAAACATTGGGTACTTGCTGGAATTTCACTGCATACCGTACCTTGTCAGAATCTTGTTTCACCCCGCCTTTGTCTTACAGGATTTCTTAGAGTAGGATTTTACTTGGACTGGATTAAAAGAACAATCCACTAGTTATTAATGTTATTACTTTCAATTTTGCTAAAATTAAATAAAGAAACAAATGAAATATATTTTGAAACGATTTAAATTACTATTTATTATTATAACATAAACCAATCGAGTAGATTAATCCGACTTCTTTTTAAACTGTTTAAGTTTAGCAAAGTAGTTTAAAATCCTTGCCGTTTAAAGATAAAACAAATCTTCTCGTTTTGTCAGTTTTCATCTATCTTCCGTCGAGATCAGAATGAATTTATTTGTAGTTTCTTTGCTGTTTCTATTTCCAATCATTTCAAATGGACTTAAGTTGTCCCATGAAATGATAAAATATACTATATACTGTGGTGTTCGTGCTACTGACAATGAATTGATTGCCCGTGTCGTCGGTGGTCGCGAAGCTGACCCAGGAGAAGTTCCTTTTTTCGCTTCAGTCGAAGAAAGCACATTTTTCAACATGTTTAAATATAAAAAGTGTGGTGGTGTTTTGATCTCAAATCGATGGGTCTTGACTGCGGCCCATTGTAAAATGAGTTGGTTTGGAACCTTGCGAGTTGTTTTAGGTGATGAATTAAACAATGAAACGATTCCAGTAGAAAAAATTTACGTCCATTCGGATTTTAATCGTCAAACACTTGAAAACGATATCGCCCTTTTATTATTGAAAGAACCAGTTCAATATAGTAGGAATATCCAACCAATCTGTTTACGGGAGCCTGGAGAAGATGACAGTTTTTATGGTCGCCACGGGACAGTGGCTGGTTGGGGAAGACTAGGTGAGTGAATTTATTCCTATGCAATTTATTTCATACTAATCAATTTGAAATGGCTTGGTAATGAGATCGGAGGTAAGGAATTGTTGCTCTATTAGTATTTGGCGATTCCTCAAAAAACTTTCACTGGCCTAACGTTAAATTTGAGTAGCAATGTTTTTGGTGAAGATAATTGTCTATACATTCTTGATGAGTTGAATGATAAAGTCACTGTGATATTAGAGTAAGTTTAAATTACAGAATTGTTTATTTAATTGCTTATTTATCTTTCAATATCTTTTTCACAGGGAAGATGAAGGTGACCAAGAAGAATACGAATATCCTGATGATAACCTCGAGGACTCGAGGCTTGTTGGTATTGTCTCGAATGGTATAAACTGTGCCAAGCTCAATTCGCCCAGTGGTATCACCAGTGTGAGCTATTATCTAAATAAATTGAATCAAAGAAAATAAAATTAGATGAAATGTATTTTTGAAAAGATTGAAAGAAAAATTTTAAATTTTCACCTTTGTTTCTTTCATACAATATATTTATAATAATGAGGTTAAAGTCTTCCGTCTCCTAATTGTCCACTCTTATGATCTAATTCCAATTCCGATAATTTCCTCCATAACTCGTCTCTTTCTTTTTCTTTCCTCTTCTCTCTAAATGGAAATGAGCAGTGAAATAATTTAGTCAATATCAACCAGAGGTTTTTGGCAGAGAGACGCACTTTTGTCTTTCTTGTCTATAACTTCCAGTCAATTTACTTCCATAAATGTCTTCAAAACATTGTAAACAAGTGCAATGATCGTCTGGTTCCAATGTTCCTTAGATATTTTATATAATGCTGGAAACATGATTGGCATTATTGTATTTGAATTCTCCTCGATTAGACTTAATATGTATTCGTTATGCCAAAAGTAGAGAGCCCGCTCCGCAACCTATGAAATGTAAGAAGAGAACAAAAGAGTGGAAAAATACATTAATAATTCAATTATGAGATATTAAATTACTCAACTATTATTGAACTTGCAGTCCAGAGATAAGAAAGCATAAAAATTTTAATGAAATTGTTTAAATTACTAATCACCAATAAAGCTTGGTTCTTTATTCCTGAGATTGATCCAAAGACCGTTTTGACATTACTGATAAACTCAAATAAGCTTGATCTTTCAATGAAAACCTTATCCATGATGATGAATCCAATACCTTTCACCTTTATAAACTACCCTCTTCAACACTCCTTATCTTCCTTTTATTTTGTCTATTCTACTCATCTTTCACAAAATCGTTTCCTTACACAAACAGAGTTTTGTCTTTTCCCAGTTACATGAATACAAAAATGGAATTAAAACTCGTCTCTGATAAAATAAGTACCACCAGCAGTTGGTTAATTGATTGGTTTGGATTATTTCCTCCATGAAATATAAATATTGAGAATAACTCAAAAGAGAAAATTATTTCGGTGCGGATTGCTGGACAATTTGTTTGTCCACTAATGCAACAATTTAATATGGTTTAGAAATAAGTTTGTGAATATTAGAGTTTTAGTTCAAAAATTGCTTTTTAATTGCTAACTTATCTTTCAACATCTATTTCTCAGGGAGGTTAAAGGTGACCAAGAGTAATATGAATTGTCTGATTTGTTAACCACTAGATTAATTGAGAAAAGACCTTCTTATAAATCAGCTCAAGCTTTATTATCTCACACTGGTTTGATCAAGAGTGAAGAAGGATACCACAAAAAAACCCGAGACTTAAGAGACCCATTTATTGCGTTAACTAATTTGAAAAAAAGTTAACATTTGAAAAAAGTTCAATTCGATGCTTTCGACAATTTTCTCTTGAACTAATTCTTACTGCTACAGATACAACAGGGAAACTTAAACACGTTTGATTCCCAATGAAACTTGATTTCTGAAAGGATTAATAATATGACTTGTCTCTACTGTTATCGGTAAATGCAACACGAAAACTTTACCAAAAGTCAATGCAGTCTCTCAGTTGTAAACAAAATATGACACTCAGACAACGAAATCTAATAAAATTGTTCAAATAGTAACCAATAGAGTTTGATTCTTGATTTCTGAAAGAATGAATGATTTGAATCATTTTAAACCGTTTATGATTCTTCAAGAAGATTAAAGTTCTTGCTATTTAAAGGCAATGCATGAAGAATCCTTTTGTCAGTTCTCATCCTCATCTATCTCTAGTCAAACTTGAAATGAATTCATTCGTACCTCTTTTGTTGTTTACATTACCCATCATCTCAAATGGACTCCCATTGTCTTATAAAAAGTCACAATCGACTTTCCAATCTTATGACAATGAATTGACTGATCAAGTCTGTGGTCGCGATACTATCCCAGGAAAAATGCCATTCTACGCTTCAATAGAAGTAGATCATTTAACCAAGCATTTCAAATTGTGTAATGGTGTTTTGATTGCAAATCGATGGGTCTTGACTCCGGCCCATTTTATATTCAGTTCTTTTGCACCCATACGAGTTGTTTTAGGTGACGAATGGAACAACAAAACAATTGGAGTGGAATCAGCGCACTTCCATCCGGATTTCAGTCTTGAAAGACCCATGCCCAATATCGCCCTTCTATTATTGAAAGAGCCAGTTCAGTTCAGTAGAAGCATCCAACCAATTTGTTTACCAGAGCCTGGAGAAGATGAAACTTTTTATGGTCGCTATGGAACACTGGCTGGCTGGGAAAGACTAAGTGAGTGATTTTTTATTTACTTTATTAATACCAATAATAAATGATTATTTTTTCCTTTATTTTCAAAGATCCAACAGAGAGAAAATTACCTTCAAGTATGCATACAACCAGTTTGCCGATCATAAGATCTGAAGATTGTGAAAGATTTTACGCAAAACCTAAGGTTAATATCACCGTTGTTAATAATATCACCGATTCCTTATTTTGTGCTGGTTACCCGGAAGGACCAAAAGATGCATGTCCTACACTTGGTGATCCGTTGATGGTGAAAGTTCGAAAACATTGGGTAATTGCTGGAATCACAGTGGCTAACATGAGCTGTTGGAGATCTCATGCACTCGATGCTTACCTTAGAGTTGGATTTTTCTTGGACTGGATTAAAAGCACAATAGAAAAATATAATAGTTGAAATGTATTCTGAAATGATTTGTATGTTCACCTTTTTTCTTTGGTAAATTAAATATAATTTTCAAAATATGTTTTAGTCTGCCGTCTTGGTATGCAATCAAAAGCTCTTTTTCGGAAAGTGATTCAGGAAGATTTGAAAATGCATACTGTGATAATGGTTTAGGATTTAAGGAGATAAATTTTAGGTTGAGCATTGGGTAATATAAAATCTTGAAGTCTTTAAATCATCTTTTGTGGTCGTAAGCGACGCGAGAATAAAGGAAAAACTAAACCAAAGCTAGAACAACCCAACCTCTCAGATTGTCTACTGAAGAACGGAAGATTTCCATTTATTTAGGAAACCATGAATGATACCTGAGAGGTTGAAATGTGTTGGTCGCAAAACGGCCAAAGTCAGAACAGCCAAATGCAAAGCTGCTTAAACTCTGAACAGCCAAATAAAACTACTTAAATGATCAGATTTATTAAGGGTATCAAAAAGTACTTTTGTTTTTTTACCACTGACTTTTGCTGCAATTTTGTATAAGTTTGACAAAATTGGATTCAAAGCTTGAACTTCGGTCTGTTTTTGCACAGTTGAAGCAGTTTTGGAGAGTTGGTCAAAGATAAGGATATTTTACTTTAGATTAATTGTGTTCAACTTTCGTGAAAATGCAGATTTTAATAAATCGACTTCAGAAAAGGCCTTCTTATGAACCAGCTCAAGCTATATTATCTCACACGGGTTTGATTAAGAGTGAAGATGGATCCAGGAGACTTAGAGGTCAATCTATTGTTGACTAATTGTCGTGGTTATTTGAAAAAAGTTCAAGTCGATGCTTTACAATTTTCTCTTGGACGAATTCCTACTGCTACAGATGCAACAGGGAAACTTAAACGAGGCTGATTCCCAATAAAACTTGTTTCTTGATTCCTGAAAGGATTAATAATATGACTTGTTTTTAAAGCGTTTATAACTTCTTAAGAAGATTAAAGTTCTTGCTATTTAAAGGCAATGCATGAAGAATCCTTTTGTCAGTTCTCATCCTCATCTATCTCTAGTCAAACTTGAAATGAATTCATTCGTACCTCTTTTGTTGTTTACATTACCCATCATCTCAAATGGACTCCATTTGTCTTATAAAAAGTCACAATCGACTTTCCAATCTTATGACAATGAATTGACTGATCAAGTCTGTGGTCGCGATACTATCCCAGGAAAAATGCCATTCTACGCTTCAATAGAAGCAGATGATCCAACCAAGCATTTCAAATTGTGTAATGGTGTCTTGATTGCAAATCGATGGGTTTTGACTCCGGCCCATTTTATATTCAGTTCTTTTGAATCCATACGAGTTGTTCTAGGTGACAAATGGAACAAAAAAACAATTGGAGTGGAATCAGCGCACTTCCTTCCGGATTTAGATCGCAAAACACCTATGAACAATATTGCCCTTTTATTATTGAAAGAACCAGTTCAGTTCAGTAGGAATATCCAACCAATTTGTTTACCAGAACCTGGAGAAACTTTTTATGGTCGCTATGGAACACTGGCTGGCTGGACAGAACGGAGTGAGTCATTTTTTCTTTATTTCGATAATACCAATAATTAATGATTATTTTTTCCTTTATTTTCAAAGATCCAACAGAGAGAAAATTACCTTCAAGTATGCATACAACCAGTTTGCCGATTATAAGATCTGGTGATTGTAGAAGATTTTACGATAAACCTGAATTTATTGACAAAAATCTCACTGATTCCTTATTTTGTGCTGGTTACCCGGAAGGACCAAAAGATGCATGTCCTAAACTTGGTGATCCGTTGATGGTGAAAGTTCGAAAACATTGGGTGATTGCTGGAATCACAGTGGCTAACATGAGCTGTTGGAGGTCTCATGCACTCGATGCTTACCTTAGAGTTGGATTTTTCTTGGACTGGATTAAAAGCACAATAGAAAAATATAATAGTTGAAATGTATTCTGAAATGATTTGTATGTTCACCTTTTTTCTTTGGTAAATTAAATATAATTTTCAAAATATGTTTTAGTCTGCCGTCTTGGTATGCAATCAAAAGCTCTTTTTCGGAAAGTGATTCAGGAAGATTTGAAAATGCATACTGTGATAATGGTTTAGGATTTAAGGAGATAAATTTTAGGTTGAGCATTGGGTAATATAAAATCTTGAAGTCTTTAAATCATCTTTTGTGGTCGTAAGCGACGCGAGAATAAAGGAAAAACTAAACCAAAGCTAGAACAACCCAACCTCTCAGATTGTCTACTGAAGAACGGAAGATTTCCATTTATTTAGGAAACCATGAATGATACCTGAGAGGTTGAAATGTGTTGGTCGCAAAACGGCCAAAGTCAGAACAGCCAAATGCAAAGCTGCTTAAACTCTGAACAGCCAAATAAAACTACTTAAATGATCAGATTTATTAAGGGTATCAAAAAGTACTTTTGTTTTTTTACCACTGACTTTTGCTGCAATTTTGTATAAGTTTGACAAAATTGGATTCAAAGCTTGAACTTCGGTCTGTTTTTGCACAGTTGAAGCAGTTTTGGAGAGTTGGTCAAAGATAAGGATATTTTACTTTAGATTAATTGTGTTCAACTTTCGTGAAAATGCAGATTTTAATAAATCGACTTCAGAAAAGGCCTTCTTATGAACCAGCTCAAGCTATATTATCTCACACGGGTTTGATTAAGAGTGAAGATGGATCCAGGAGACTTAGAGGTCAATCTATTGTTGACTAATTGTCGTGGTTATTTGAAAAAAGTTCAAGTCGATGCTTTACAATTTTCTCTTGGACGAATTCCTACTGCTACAGATGCAACAGGGAAACTTAAACGAGGCTGATTCCCAATAAAACTTGTTTCTTGATTCCTGAAAGGATTAATAATATGACTTGTTTTTAGACCGTTTTTTGACTCGATCGGAGTTGATAAACTGTAATAAATTAGCTTACCAATATCCATAGAAAGGTTTTTCAGACTTTTTTGCAATTTGAATTGATATGATTTAAGCAGCTTTGTATTTGGCCTTTCTGATTTTGGCCGTTTTGGGCCTTTACTGTTGAAATGGCTTGACGTAAGTGGTAATGAGATCGGAGGTGAACAAGTTGTTGATTTAATAGTTAACATATTTGGCGATTCCTCAAAAACCTTTACTGACCTAACATTAAATTTGAGTAGCAATGTTTTTGTGCAGATAATTGTTCATACATTCTTGATTATTGAACTACTTCAAATGAATTGTGCTCAGCTTTTGGGAAAATTAATACTGAAAGATCTAATGAATCAACTTTTAGTTTACCAGAAAATGTTTTAAAAGAGTCTGATTTATTGATCAAAAGATTAATTGAGACAGGGTCTTCTTATGTATCAGCTCAAGCTTTATTATCTCACTTGAGTTTGATCAAGAGTGAAGATGGATCCAGGAGACTTAGAGGTCAATCTATTGTTAACTAATTGTCATGGTCATTTGAAAAAAGTTCAAGTCGATGCTTTACAATTTTCTTCGATACTATCCCAGGAAAAGTGCCATTCTACACTTCGATAGAAGCGAATCTTGGCGAATTTTATTACAAATGGTGTAGTGGTGTTTTGATTTCAAATCGATGGGTCTTGACTGCGGCTCATTGTGCATTCAGTCATTCTGTTTAATAAAGTTGTTTTAGGTGACGAATGGAACAACAAAACAATTGGAGTTGAAAAAAGTTATATCCATCCGGATATTGATAGTCGAACAGAAGAAAACAATATCGCTCTTTTATTATTGAAAGAACCAGTTCAGTTCAGTAGGAATATCCAACCAATTTGTTTACCAGAGCCTGGAGAAGATGAAACTTTTTATGGTCGCCATGGAACAGTTAATGGCTTCAAAAAACTACGTGAGTGATTCATTCTTTTTCTTCATTCATACTTAACAATTGACATTGTTTATTCCTTTATTCTTGTAGATCGAATGGAGAGAAAATCGCCTTCAAATTTGCAAATAACCACTTCGCCGATAATTAGATCTGATGATTGTGGTAAATCATACGCAAAAGTTGGTCGTAGAGACAAAGCATTTATCAATAATTCGTTAATGTGTGCTGGTTACTCCAATGATGTAGAAGATGTATGTTTTTCTCGACTTGGAAATCCATTGATGGTCAACGTTGAAAAACATTGGGTACTCGCTTCAATGAATAACATAGGTTGTGCGAAGGTGCCTTTACCTGAGAAATTAGCTGCAATCTCAAGCTCTGTTCTTACAATAATATTTCAATTATTCTAGTAAGGAGAAAATTATCATTAAAGTTGAAGAATAATCGTAAATTTATGACAAATAAATGCTCATGGTATGATCACCTCTAAATTTTCAACCCGGGTAGTAACTTACTAAGTTTTTACTTACATCTATCAACTTGTTGGCTAATTAATTTGGATTTCACCAAATTTCACCATTTCACTCAAATGTCCATCTTTAACTTAATTTCGCTTCAAGCTCATCATTTTATTATCACTTCATTTCATGCTTGAGTGTGAATCGCAGTTAAATATCAATCCTAGGTGTAAATTTTACGTTTAATTAATTTTCCTCTCTTTCCTTTACTCTCAAGTTAATCAATTAATCACTCTTTGCAGTTGACTGTTTACTTTTGCAGAGAAAAAGACAGTTTACAATATAAATAAGAACCAAAGCTTTTTTACGTTGGTTACATTTGGTTATGCATTTTAATCATCAAATCCGTGATCTTTTTTTCAGGGAAGATGAAGGTGACCACCCGGGTTACTATTATGACCAGGAAAGAGCCTGAATTTAGCCAACTTACACAATCAAGAGCTTGGTAACGTTTTGGCACTGATTTAGCTCAAATTTTACCAATTTTTTATTGAATTTTTACCAATAATTTATTAGATTAAAAACTTGAAAAAAAGGTAATGGGATTCGAACCCAAACGCTCCGAAGCATCAGACCATCCCTTTAACCACTAAGCTAAGCTTTCTCATAAAAAAATCAATTTAAAGTAAATGCCAATAAAAAAATGCTCATTTAGCTAAAATCTTGTCAAGAAAATTTACCAAGAATTTTGGTGAACTAACAGCTAGATGCGAGTGAGAAATCATCGCAACAAGAAATGAACGAGAGTTTGAAAAAAAATTAGCTATTCTCCCGCTCATTACCAAGTTTTTGGTAATATTCAGTTAAAAGAGTAACTCGGGCAAGAATAATACGAATATCCTGATGATAACCTAGAGGACTCAACGGATACATGAGGACCGCGAGTAGATGTATCAGAGGAAATTAGAGAGTTGGTCAAGATGAGGAAACTATTATATTAGGGGTATCAAAAAGTTCTGTCGTTTTTTTATCGATGAATTCTGACTACATTTTAAATGGGTTAGAATTATCTTATCGATTCAATAATTTCAGGAATACAAGAGCATTTTTATAAGTGCATTCATGCCAATTTTTGACTCGATCAGAGACAATTAACTATAAATAATTAGCTAATCAATATGTACCATTTTTAGACGCAATTTAAAGGTGTCAGAACTGGTAAAGGCTCAAAACAGCCAAGTCCAAAACGGCCAAAGTCAGAACAGTCAAATACAAAGCTGCTTAAATCATATCAATTCAAATTGCAAAAAAGTCCAAAAAAACCTTTCTATGGATATTGATAAGCTAATTAATTATAGTTAATTAACTCCGATCGAGTCAAAAAACGGTCTACATGCACCTTTATCAATGCTCTTGTGTCCTTAAAATTATTGAGTCAATTGAACTAATCAAACTCATTCAGAATTGAAGCAAAAGTCAGTGGTGAAAAACAAAAGTACTTTTTGTTACCCCTGCTAGATCCGATCATTTAAATAGTTTTATTTGATTTAAGCAGCTTTGTGTTTGGCTGTTCTGGTTTTGGCCGTTTTGGACTTGCTGTTTTGAGCTTGGCTGTTTTGACTTTGGCTGTTTTGGACCCAAACCGTCAGAACTCATTGATATTTTTACAGAAAAAATTAAAATTGAAATAAAAAATTAATATCAATCGAAAGCTCAAGGTTCATATAATAACTGAGCAAAATTTGAAATTTCTAATCATTATCATTATTTAATTGTCAAAATAAATGGTTCAAAAAAAACCATTTTTTTGACCATTTTCTATTGGATTTCGGCATAGGATTTTCAGTCAAATTGCAAAAAAAGTTCAAAAAAATCTTTTTATGGGAATTCAATGTTAAACAAATTTTTAGTTAATAATATAATTTGCTCATGATAATGACTAGAAATTTCAAATTTCGCTCAGTTATTATATGAACCTTGAGCTTTCGATTGCTATTAATTTTTTCTTGCAATTCTAATTTTTTCATCGAAAAAATCAATCAGTTCTGGTCTCTTTAAATTGTATCTTCAACTAGTACCTATTGATAATTATAGTTAATTAACTCCGATCGAGTTAAAAAATAGCTTAAATGCACTAAAACTGATGTTCTTGTATCCCTGAAATTTTTGCGTAAATTGAATAATCAGAACTAATTTGAAATCGAAGCCAAACAATCAGTTAAAAAAACGACAGAACTTTTTGATACCCCTAATACTTTAGATAAATTTTGTTCAACTTTTGTGAAAATGCAGACTTTAATAAATCGACTTCAGAAAAACCCTTCTCATGAATCAGCTCAAGCTTTATTATCTCACTTGGGTTTGATCAAGAGTGTAGATGGATCCAGGAGACTTAAGAGAAACATTTATTGTTAATTAATTGTCGTGGTCAATCGGCAAAAAAGGTAAAAGGTCAAAACAGCGAAAGCCAAAATAACGAAGGGTAAAAATAAGTAGCTAAAAAATAATTAAACTGATTAAAGTTTTTTTCTGAAAATTGAACACAATGCTTTGATTGACATATACTAAATTGGCTGACTATTTCATTTAGTTTGCAATTTTCTTTATTCTTGCATTCAAATCTTTACCGATCAAATTGTTTCCTCAATCATGGCTAATTACGAACTGATCAAACAAAGAAAAATGAAATTTCATGCTTTTATACAGCAATATATACATCGATATTTTTCGCGCGTTTTACTTTCAATATTTTGCTTTCTCTATTCTGTCTTTCGCTGTTTTTTCCTTCTCGGTTTTGAGCCAAAACCGGAAAAATTCAGTCGATGCTTTACAATTTTCCCTTGGACGAACTCCTAATGCTACAGATGCAACAGGGAAACTTGAACATAAACTAATGCAAGCTTTGT